ATAATTTGTATAATTTTCCTGCATGACTTTTTGACACTAAATTTGCTTCAGCATTGCGATCTGGGGCTTTATACATCTTGAAGGACTTGATTTTATACTTTTTCTTGATAGTCAGAACCATTTGTCTGCTAGTTTTGTATTTTAGTACCAAATCTTGCTCAGAAATGTTAGGATTTGACCTTATTTTTGCAAAAACATTTGTCTTCAGTTTTTTGCTAATGTTGAAGTTGTTGATGCTTCCAGGCTTGCTATTTATTATATTAAGTGTCAAATACTTATTTAAAGTTCTAATCACAGTGCTTTTAGAACATCCAACATTTTTTACAATGGGTTTGAGAGGCAAATTAGGATTTTACATTCAAGCGTGCAAAATTGCGTCACGCACTTGTTGCTGGTTTTTTGCCATTTTGAATAATAATAAAATTTTTCTAAAAAAAATATTTTAACTGAAAAACTAATACATAAATAATTATTTTTCTGTATGATAACATTCTGTATGTTTTTTTTAGCGCCCTAATAAAAAAACACATACTGAAACTTTTTAGTCCCTGTGTTATAAGGTAAACTAATAATTTAATATTTCACGACCAGGAGGTAATCCACTGATAAGGGTGGTAGCCCTCCTATCAAGATCAAATGGCTCTTGGATGGAATCAAGAAAAGACGGTAAAAGAACTTGTTGCTTATGCAATTAATCAAGTCAAAACCGAGCTAATGGAGAGGATTGACAATCTGGAGCAAATTGTCATTGATAAAGAAGTTGTAATCAATGATTTGATGAAATTGAAACTTAAAATACTTGAGAAAATAAAAGTTTGTTTAAATGACACTAACAGTAAGATTTCAAAATACAGCAACTTTGCAGCAGCCTTAGCTAAGCCAGGATCCCAAGCTAACACAGCTCTCGTTAGTGCAATATCTGCAAATGAAAAAGTAATTGAAAAAAAAGCCAAAAAGGCTATATTTGTAGGCATGTTCCCTTCAGATACCTCAGACCAGATTGCAGATGAATCCATAACTAAAGAAAAAGTAAAAGAAATAATATCGTGTTTAAATGTTAATGCTAAAATTGTATTGACTCGCAGAATAAAGCCCAAGATCAGTTTAACCGCCAATGTAATAAACGGCTCAAATGCCAGAAACAGCCAAAACTCAATTATTGTGGAATTTGAAAGTGCAGAATCAAGAAATATGGTATTAGCAGTAGCTTAACACAATAATGTTTTTATCAGACCTGATCGAACAGTTGCGGAACAAGCTGAGTTTAATAAGCTTAACATTGCAAGAAAAACAGCAAACAGTGATCTTGAAAAACATGGTAATCTTGATAACCCATTTCGATTCATCATCCGCAGTGACAGGGTCCGCTGCATCAATGTATCTAAGACCCTTGAAATCAACAACCGTTCAGTACACCCTTTTGTTGAATGGCAAAAAGCCCACATTGCACGCTCAAAACCAATCAATGCACAATAATATCAATGATACTATAAAATCATCTACATCAAGCCAAAACTGTTCAAACAAGCCATCAAATACTTTTTTAAGCCAAGAAATCAATTCAAACATCTTAACGCAAATTAAATCACAAAAAAGTTGCCGATCATATCACGAAAAAAACAAGATAACAGAATGTTATTTAAAATGCTGATACACAATTATGGTATGCGAGACATGGTGGACAGATAAATTGGTAAATAATATTCCTGGGTATTGCTTATATAGAAATGATAGAGCCTTCGAAAAAGGGGGGTTGAGTGTGTATATATATTGCTAAAACTTTAAACTTTTTAAAAATTTCTAATACTGAACTTCAAAATAATCTAATTGAACAGATTTGGTGTTTTTAATCATTGGTAAAGAAAGACTTAAATGTGGATGTATTTATCGTACTGGAGATAGTAACATATACAACTGCATAAATGTAATGAGGTCAATTGAAGCAGCCAACAAGATAATATTGAATAAAAAGCAAGTGGTATGCTCTTATGTGGGGATTTTAATTTCCCTCAAATCGATTGGAGCGATTCTGTAGGCAAAGTAACTGGAAAAGACAAAATAGCATAGTTATTTCTAGATGGCTCAGATAAATTCTTTTTGTTCCAAAACGTAATAAAACCAACATTTCATCTTGAAAATGATAAAAAAAACAATATTTTGGATCTTGTAATAACAGAAAGAAATTCAAGAATTTTCAATTTAGTACACCACCCACCACTTCAACACAAACTTAATGGACATCATATTCTTACTTTTTGCTATAATTTTACTCCATCAAATAAAGTTGTAAGTCAATCATACACTAAAAAATATATGTATCATAAAGGGAACTACAGTAATATGAACAATTACTTTGATAAAATCAACTGGGATAATCTCTTTAAAAACCTCAACGCAGACGAATGTTACAATAAATGGTTACAATATTATGATATGGCATGCACTCTATATATAACATTATGATATGACATGCTGTCTATGGTTACAACATTATGATATGCATGCAATCCCAAAATGCACTCTATATATCCCACAATCAAATTTAAATAAAATCAAAAGAGCACCTTGGTTTATACCAAAATTTATTAAGGGAATACAAAAATATCAATAAAGTCACAAAAAAAACTGTAAAATCAAAAATCAGAGACTATAAGTATGAAATTGATCACAAAGCCAAAGAAAATCTTAAATTGATATACCAATATATAAACAGTAAAACTAAAATCAATCAGAAAAATAAGTGCTCTGGAAATGGAAGATGGAACAATATCGATAAATGAATCAGATAATACTAAAGTACTGAATAATTTTTTTCATTCAGTTTTTCAAAAAGAAAACAACAATGTACAAACGTTTAATAAAGCATTACCTAAACCAATTGCATTCCGAATATAAATATTGACACCGTTATTAAAAAGTTAAGTAAATTGGATGTTAATAAATCTACTGGTAAAGACAAAGTGCACTCGAGAGTTTTAAAGGAATGTTCTAATAGTATTACAAATCCATTATCAATTATTTTTATATAATTTGATATGATCCTACTCAAGTGGCATAATTCTGAGATTATGGCAGTGTGCAAATGTTATCCTTATATTTAAAAAAAAAGACAAATTGAAAGCAACAAGCTATCGTCCTTTTTCATTACTGTCTGTCGTATGCAAAGTAATGGAGAGTATAATAAGAGACGCTTTAATGGAACATCTTGTTGAAAATAAATTAATATCTGATTTGCATCATAGCTTTGTCCAAAGTAAAAACTGTTGCACAAATTTTCTAGAGTCTTTAGATTTAATTACACAGTCTCTGGAACTTGGTTTTTCAACTGATAGCATTTTTGGACTTCTCCAAAGCATTTGATACAGTTACACACAAAAGATTGTTAATAAATTTAAAAGCATATTGTGAAAATGAAGTTTTAGTAAACTGGTTTAAAATGCAAAATTATGCTTATAGGGAAAAAAAATCCTTGCTATAATTATTATATGAGCCAACCAACAAGCAATGAAAATCATTACATTATGATAAAAACATCTTTGGAAAAAGATTTAGGGGTCCTAATATCTAATGATATAAATTGGAAAAATCATATAGATATTATTGCAGGAAAAGCAAACAGAATACTTGGTCAAATAAAACATTGTTTTATATACTTAGATAAAGACCTAATGAAACTGCTATATTGTTCGTTAGTTCGATCCCAATTGGAATTTGCTTCACCAATTTGAAATCCTTATTATAAAAAATATATCAATAAAATAAAACAAGTACAACAAAGAGCAATAAGATTTAATAAGGTGTTTAAAAGGTATGAAATATGCGGAGCGATTAAAAGAATTTGGATTGACGTCATTAGAAAAACGAAGAGAACAGAGAGATATAATAGAATATTGTAAAATTCAAAATGACATTCATAAAATAAATTGGAAATACCCTCCAATAAACAACTTATATCCAAAATTAAGATGTCATAATAAACGGTTGCACAAACAATATGTTCATATTTCAAATTGCCAATTTTATTTGTATATGTATATATATATATATATATATATATATATATATATATATATATATATTATATATATATATATATATATATATATATATATATATATGTATATATATATATATATATATATATATATATATATATATATATATATATATATTATATATGTGTGTGACATATATGTTTGACATCAAAATGGGTGTGTTTGATGATGCAGAGATATATACTCATATATCTCTGCATCATCAAACACACCCATTGTGATGTCAAACAAACTGCACAATTTTTTTTTATCCAAACCTGGTTATTATTGAACAGCAAAGATTTCCTTGCATGAATAATAATTGAATTATATTCTTTGATTTTAGTTAAGTGTTTTTTCGCAAAGCTGACAGAATTATTAAGGAGTTTTTCACTAATTGAAGAGTAGAAATCGTTAATATCAAAAATGAGGAATTTATAAAGAAGACAATACAGATATTGGTATCCAAGCAGATATATATAGATATAGGTATATAGAAGAATATATATATATATATATATATATATGGCATGAAACTTTTAGTTAGTTATATATGAATGGCATGAAACTTTTAGTTCCATCATAAAATTGTATTTTTTCCATTTAAATTATTTTAATATATATATATATATACATATATATATATATATATATATATATATATATATATATATTTATATATATATATATATATATATATATATATATATATATATATATATATATATATATATACTTTTTATATACTATACTTTTTTTTGGACCTGTATGCCCTTGAGAACATGTAATTAATAATAATCGATGATTAATTTAATTATCTTTTTTTTTTTTCATGAAACAATGTAACAAAGATTTTGCACCTATTAAATAAAATAGGAGTACAAGCCTGGCCGAGAATTTTCTATTAACTAAAATCAATATAACTATTATGATTTAAATCAACTTATTACAAAAAAAGTCATATACCTTAAAAAGCTGAACACCAATACATGCAAAAATAAGCAGCATCAAAAAAGCAATTATCAAAACAAATCCAATGACTTTGAATGAATATATCATACATAAAAATATTATCTAAATAAAATAAAATATAAAATAAAAGCATAAATAACAACATCTATAAACAAGTAAAATTTTAAAATAAAATTCTAAAACCTATACATATATATATATATATATATATATATATATATATATATATATATATATATATATATATATATATATATATATATATATTATATATACATTTTTATATATAAATATATATAAATATATATTTTTTATATATGTATTTATATATATTTATATTTATATGTATATATATATATATGTATATACATAAAATATATATATATATGTATATACATATAATATATATATATATATATATGTATATATATATATGTATAAACATATGTATATATATATATATGTATATATATATATATGTATATATATATATGTATATATATATATATATATATATATATATATATATATATATATATATATACATACATATATACATATATATATGCACATATATATGTATATATATATACATATAAAAATATATATATATATATATATATTATATCTCCATATATATATATATCTATTGAGCAACCACAAACCTGAAGATTAAATACACGCGGTCGCAACAATATAAAAAAAAAAAAAAAGTTTTTTTCGTATAGGTTTTTTCTGTATAGTTTCAATTGTATATAATTTTTTAAACGAACAAACTTTATTTGTATTTCACCTGATGATTGCAACAGCATGAAACTTAAAATTGTGAAAATCACGTAGTTTTATTTTCTACTCTCTCTCTCTCTCTCTCTCTCTCTCTATATATATATATATATATATATATATATATATATATATATATATATATATATATATATATATATATATATATATATATATATATATATATATATATATATATATATATATATATAACCTTTCGATAAATAATATGATGATATATGACATGCAAAATATAAATATTAATCTAACCACATAGACCCCTAATAGCCATAATAACTCAAAAAAAATTTCTAGGAATGTATTCTTATAACTTGACATCTAAATTTACTGTTTGTGATAAAAAATGATATTTAACTACTTAAATTTTATTGTTTGTTAAAAAAGAATAAAAATGCATATTAATAGGCTAGAGTGTTTTTATTTTATTAATAATAAATTTTCTAATAAAAATCATTATTCTGAATATATATATTTTTTTATAATGCTTATATATATAGACTGATGAAACATGCAAGGAGTGCTATTATATCAAATGACAAACATATAGAACATGTGGGGAATATTGCTACATGGACTGACAGGTAGAACATACAAGGAGCACTATTACACCAAATGACACAAGGCTAAAAATCTTTGAGTCTAGATGCTTCTTTTGGAACTCAAAGATGACTTCTGAGACTTCTTTAGATGCCTTGTCTGAAATTTGCCGGTTCAATATCATCTAAGTAAGTACTGGTAAGTTCAAGTACTTGAGATTAAATACACCATGAAAATCTTTTTATCTAAAAACACTAAAATTGGTGCATCTATCTTCAAAATAATCACTTTTTTCTAGATTTTTTCAAGTCTTTGGCTTTTATGCCATTTAATCAAATATATCTTACTATTTATTAAATCATACTTGTTACAAATCTTTGTTTGTTTTGATCATATAGGCAGAGACGACTAAGTTTAATTATTACTAGTAATTACTTTTAAGTACTGGTATGTCTTAAAGAACAAAACATTGTACAAACATTTGTACAAAAGTTAGCGAACACTGAAACTCAACATCTGCAGATGTGAGCTTAATTAATAATGCTGCATCATAAAACTTTTTATCCATCTGAAACCATCTTGTCCAGAAGATATTACTGGTGATTCTTTTTTTTTTATCAATACATTAAGTTCTTCTGGAAGAGTTAAAATTTGATTTGTAGGATTTACTGGCAGTTGCTTAATAATTTTAACATCGTTAACACCAAAAAGTCAAAATGCCAACATGACAGCAAAAGTTTTGTATCTTTGACTTGTATTTTTGTAAAGTTATGAAGATTGTATAATTAATTTATAAAATCTGTATTCCGCCTTTCATTAATTCTAATTCTCAAATTATTTATTAACCTTTCAAAAAAAAATTTATCAAACATGAATTACAATATTGTGTCAGTGCTTAACAAAGTTGCATCTTCTCCGCTAAGATTTCCTAAAGTTTGGCAGGTTTTACTGTTTTAAGGTACAGGCCTCTAATAGCCTCAGGTACAGGCCTTTAGTAAACTTAAAATAATGCCATTTTATGTGATATTGTCAGTTTTATTGTGAATACTTTTATTTACCTTATAAACTTATTTTATTTTTTACTATTTTTATCAAATTTTGATACTTTTTATGCAGTTGAAACTCATTACAATATTGAAATAAGATTGTTACAATAAAAGCATGAAAAAAGTTCAAGTGTTTAACTCATTGTTACAATTTATTTAAAAAAAAATATATGGAAAAACAGTAAAAACATTCTCTTATAAAACCCTTTTTTTGTTTTATTTAAATTTCTTAAAAAACAGTAGTTTTTGATTTTTGTTAAAAAAAAACAGCTGTTTTCTGTTAAAGAATTTCTATTAAAACCTGAGAAAAGAAGCTGAAAAAAGCTGCATATAACCTTATAACTTATACAAAAAAGCAAAGTAATATGCTCTCTTTTACCTCTCCTCAATGGACACCCATCCCCTAAAATCAGTTAAACATAATTAAACATAGTTTGATTTTTTAACACATATGACAATATTGTTTTTTTTTTCAATATAACAGAGACATTTTTTTCAATTGGCAGAGTTATGGATCTATTTTATCATGGATTTATTTATTATTTTTGCAGTTTCTATATTTGCCTCATCGGTGAACAGCAACACTTTAACAATTTAATTTTGATGCTTATAACAAAATTTTATTTACTGATATCATTACCAACTGTATTGTTTCTTACATCCTATCATTGTATATTAATCATTATCATATTTTCAAAATGTTAAAATTAGTATGAAGTATTAACATTTCAATTATTTAGTGGTCAGATAGCAAATGCAAAATACAGAAAGATTACCAATTTATCTGCATCCAAAAAGTATAACTCATCAAACTAGACTAAGCTAACATAGTTAATAAAAATGAAGCAGTTTCTCACAATTTATTTCTAATGTTTTTTCATACATTGTTTATTGATAAATAGAATTTTTTTTTTTTTTTTTTTTATTTGCATTCACTCCCAATAAGGCTGCAAGCAACCACTATTAAGTTGGGAGTTACTAGGAAAAAAAAAGAACAGAGTTATAGAGCAAGGAAACTCATACAACCTTCAACTTTTCAAGTCTTCTGTCATACAACCTTCAACTTTTCAGAAGACTTGAAAAGTTGAAGGTTGTATGAGTCAGGAAAACATGAAGATGCGAGAGAGTTCCAAAGGATTGAAGTGCGGGGGAAAAAACTAGATGAATAAAAGTTTTAAGAGCATGCAGAGACAGATACAGTAAACGAATGAGACTTAGCTGAATGACGAGTAAAACGAGAATGAATTTTAGTTGATGGAACTAGAGATGATAACTCCTTTGAGCAGTGACCATGATACTATTTGTAGAAAAGAGAAAGAGATGCAACTTTTTGACGATGGGAAAGAGATTCAAGCTTAGCTGATAGTCCAGGTCCAACAACATTTACAATGCGTTTTTGGACCTTGTCAAGAAGAGAAAGTGAATCGTTAGAAGAACCAGCCCAAATATAACAACAGTATTCCATACAGGGACGAATAAGAGATTTGTAGAGGTAGAGAATGGAATCAGAAGTAAGGAAATGGCGAGCACGATAAAGAGAAGCAACCTTAGCAGAAGATAATTTAGCAATCGATTGTATATAAGGTTTCCATGAAAGATCAGTAGTAAGCAATAATCCAAGAAGACTTAAAGAGGAGGACTCAGAAAGAGGATTGCCATTCATTAATATAGGAATGTTGACTATATTACAATAGTTGTTTGCAGTAAGCAATTGGGTTTTTTTAGAGTTGAAATTCACAAGCCACTGTGAACCCCAATCTATTACTGAAGTGAGATCAGATTCAAGATCAGCTGCTTGTTCTAGGCGATCGAAAAGAAAAGACTTTTTGTCAAGACAGGAGTATAAAGTTGAGTCATCAGCAAAAAGAGCTACTTTATATAAAAGGTTGTCAGGAAGATCGTTTATGTAGATAAGAAACAAAACAGGGCCCAGGTTGGAACCTTAGGGAACCCCAGAAGTTACTGGAAATTAAGAAGAGTGTTGGCCTTCAAGGATGACTTTAATAAACCGGTTAGAAAAAAATGATTTGATAATCTCAAAAACTTTCCCAGAAACACCATATGAAGCAAGCTTATGGAGAAGACCAGCATGCCAAACTTTGTCGAAAGCTTTAAATATGTCGAGAGCAATAGCCCTAGCCTCACCGCCTCCATCTAATGCACGATAAAATCTTTCAGTTACAGCAGTTAGCAAGTCAGCCGTAGAGCGAGAGGATCAAAAACCGTATTGATTGTCTGACAGCAGTTTATTTGACTCAAGATGAGATGTGAGGAAGTTGTTGATCAAAGACTCAAAGACCTTGCTAATAACAGAAAGAAGGCTGATCGGACGATTATTGGAGGGGTCAGAATTTTCTCCAGAGTTTTTGAAGATTGGAACCACAGATGTCATTTTCCAACAAGCAGGAAAACAAGACTCAATCAAACACTTCTTAAATAGTTTAGAGAGAATTGAAGAAAGTTCTGGAGAACAATTCTGCAAGACTGTGACAGGAATGTTGTCTGGACCACAAGCTGTAGACGAGTTTAATTGAGATATGACTTAAGCAACAGAAGCCGAAGTGATTTGAATGTCTAACAATGGGTCAACCTGTTTGACTGGAATGGAAGGAAGAGAATGTCCATAAAATTCAAGAGTGGAATTAGAAGAAAAGTTCTTTGCAAATAGTTCTGCCTTATCCTTGGGAGAGGTAATAAGATCAGTCCCATGAATGAGAGATGGAATGTTAGATCTACCCTTGTTGAAGATTTTTCAAAAGTCTTTAGAGCCTAACTTCTGCGATAAGATGCGAGATTTAGTGAACTGAGAATAATGGAGTTTAGCATCAGAAAGCACCTTTTTACATCAATTTCTTGCAATAATAAATAGCCATTTGTTCTCAAGAGAGTTGTTCTTTTGAAAAAGATGAAAAAAATGATTACGATTGGATACAGCAGCCACACAAGAAGGAGAAAACCATGGAGTAGAATGAGGCTCGACTTGAAACCGACAAGAAGGAACAAAAGCTTCCATTCCAGTCTGAATCCAGGATGTTACGTAGGAGGCGCATTTGTCAGCTGAGAGAGAAAAAACATCAGCCCAAGGACTATCACAAAGAAAATCACGAAAGGAACCCCACTCAGCTTTAGGGTAGTAGTAGGTGGTGCAATGATAAGGTGAGCCCAAAAAAGAAGCACGAGAAGAAAGGTTTATAGAGATCATTGCATGGTCAGAACCACCTAAGGGAGAAAAGGGAGAAACTGAACATAAGCTAGGGTCTGAGTAAGAGGTTGAGAAACGCAGAAGTTAAAGGCTTTAGTGCCAGCAGGATCAGTAGTGTAAGAGCCAAGCCATTCAGTGTGATGGGCATTAAAATCACCAACAACAATAATATTGGCAGAGGGGTAAAGATAGAGGGCATGGTCAATTTGATCAGAGATGACATCTAAAAGAGTGCAATCATGGGAAGAAGGAGAACGATAAAGAACAAATAGAAAGGTGATAGACTAAAGAGGTGCTAGGTGAAAGCACATAAAAGAATGGTCAAAGGATTCGAACCTGATTTCACGACAAATAGGGGAATTAATGCGTATGTATACCCCTAAACCTAGCATGTGACTATTGGAGTCTTTACGAATCAAAGGATAGTACCCATCAACACTGACATCTGAAGAAGGTAGTACCGCGGTAGTACCGCGCTGGTAGTACCTGGGGTAGAAGGTAGTACCTGGGAAGGTAGTACCTGGTAGTACCGCGCTCAACTCGTCTCTCCGCGCAGCGGCCTTGCTCGTCAAGGTTCGTGTTTCGGAGTTATAGAGTTGAGAGAGGGTTATAACCACAAATAAGTAGCCTCCTCGTCTGTAGTGGCCTTCTCGGCCTTGAGGAGGTGAATTAAAATTAAAAAAAAAAAAAAAAAAAATTGCAGATTTGTTTCACTGAGTGCAAGCAAGTCTGGTGAATTTTGCAAGAGGTAAGACTCAACTGATGGAAAGTTGCTTCGTAGACCGCGAATATTTGTAAAAGATATATTAAAATATTTAGGTGGTGGGGATGGTTTTTTAGGTTTTAAATTTTTGGTTACTTTGGTCATGATTTGGGTTTAATGAGAACTAGACTCATTCATAGATAGAGCACAGCCTCCTAATCAATGAGCTACGCAGTTGTCTCAGTCCTGTTAATTAACCCTAAGCGGTGACATAGGGCTCCTTATGTGGCCTTGACAATGCACACCAAGAGCATTAACAGGGACACCATCCATGCGCAACATGGCACTGTTAATACTCTGATATTTTGCAGCTGTTGATGGAATCAGCCTCTCTGAGAGCTACCACAGAGTTCGGGAAACCTTACTACCAGCCGGCCTCAGAACCATTAAACTGAGTTTTAGAGCTGTACCCTCATATGGATATAACAGGAAGAGTTGCATAGACATTATCAAGGAGGCATAAGCAAAATTCTATGAGTAGAGTCAGGGAGATCCAGCATTCATCACCCTAGGCAGGAAACAATGTAACACAGGTTACATCTACGCCAGCCTAATAGATAAAGAAGGGGTTCGAGGCTGGTTAGCAGAATTTTTCTGCTTACCCCTAAAGTCTTTGCCTAGGAGACCTTACAAGACAGTAGCTGGATGCAGTTAACATCTGCCCAAGATGAGTATTTTTATCGAGACACCATCTCTAGCCTTTACTCAACCAAGAGCCCCAAGGCAGGGGATGTTTAGCTGGATGCAGTTAACATCTGCCCAAGATGAGTGTTTTTATCGAGACACCATCTCTAGCCTTTACTCAACCAAGAGCTCTAAGGCAGGGGAATTTTTAGTCGGAGTTTATTTCTCCTAGCCTTTGCATAAGAAGAGCACACTCTGCAAGGCAGCAGGGCTTGTGGCAAGTGGTACTGGGTTACGTGATACCAGTAGCAAGATTGATCTCGATTATCCTGACCTGACCTAGAGTAGTTAAAAGGAGTTACTTCCCGCAACAGTACTTTGAGAAAACCAGGCATGACATTTTGGAAGTGCATTAGAAAAAACACTGCATCTAACAAAATACAGGAAAAACACTGCATCTAACGAAATAAGGTGAGTGTAGGTTTTGTAGTTCAAGTAAGTAGTTAGTTAATGAGCTCACGCTGCATTAGAGTATAAACAGAACACAAACAAACATAAATCAACTTACGGGTGAGTCAACACCACGCCAGAGGTTCAGACAGAACACAAACATACATAAAAAACATAAAGTAACTTACGGGTGAGCAAACACCGCGCCAGAGGTTCAGACAGAACACAAACATACATAAAAAAACATAAAAAACATAAACATAAACATAAAGTAACTTACGGGTGAGCGAACACCGCGCCAGAGGTTCAGACAGAACACAGACATACATAAAGAACATAAAGTAACTTACGGGTGAGCGGACACCGCGCCAGAGGTTCAGATAGAACACAAACATACATATAACGTAGATTACAGGTGAGCTAATACAGTAACTAAGGCACCTCCAACTATATGAAAAAAAAAAAAAAAAAATTTCTATAGGCATGATAGCTATATTGCTTAGATAGCAAATCCTGCAAGGTAGCAGAACATGGAACAGGTTGCACTGGGTTACATGTTACCAGTAGCAGGATGATCATGAAGACCATACATTAATGCCAAACCGTTAAGTCTTAATCTTCTGACATTGTTGTTCTCATATAGTCTTTTAACTGGCGCATAACAGAAAAACTTCTCTCACACTCATATGAAGTAACAGGAAGTGTCCCTAGTATCCTTAAAGCTATCTTAATATTTTCAAATCCAGGAAATGATATCGATTTAAGAGTTAAAGATATATTGTCAGGAATAGTCCCAGAGAAACTTTCCCAGTATTTTTCCCAAAGAACTAGTTCCCCATTCAAGGCACTGATATTAGGGAAATCATATATATAAAAATCACAGAATGTTTCAAACTGCTTCCTCCAACACAATTGGGTTTTGGGTCTTTTAAGAAAAGAAATAATATTAAATGGAATAATTGATAACCCTTTATATGCAGCTACAGTTTCTGATTTAAATCTTGTAGATATAGATGTAGACATGATCTATAAGAGGGATAGTAACAGCTCTTTTGAAGTATTCTGAAACAGACTCTGATGGAACATTAGAACGATTATTTTGAATAGAACAGGTTCTTGGTTTTAAAACAAAAATTTCAGCTTTACTTGAAAGCAAACATGCTGCTTCATAGCAGTTATTATGAAAACTATCTATATCGTTTCTGATGGAAATAAATGTATTTTTAAGAGCTGTAATAAGGTGCAAACCGTCTAAGATATCAATAGTTTTTGATTGCAGTAACCAAGTAACAGGTAAAGTAAAATCAAAGACACCTGTTGTCACAACTAAAGTAAAGACGAATTGAAAAGTGCCAATGGAATTTAAAAAAGTAGAAGATTTGTTTTGTGTGTCTTTGTTAACAGAACTCTCATGGAAAGCCATGATACATAAAGCATGGAAAATAGATAAATAATGCTCAAGAAAAGTGTTTAAACCATCTATACACTCAATCAACAAATGAACAAAAGTTAGAGTAATATTAGGCACAAAAACGGGGAGAAGATGGCAAAGAAATAAAACAATGGCAATCTTTTTTTTTTATAATTTGATAATTTATTTTGGTAAGATTAATTTAAAAACTATATTTTAAAGATTATCTATGAAATAAACATGACTTGTCTTTCCTGAGCTCTAATCCTAAAGGGATTTCCAAGTCCCTTTAGGACTAGATCTCAGATAGAAATAGAGAATAAATAGAATCTGTATCTCTAAACCCTAGAGATATTAATAAGGATTTTAACTCATGAAAGGAAATGTTCATATCTAATGATTCAAAGATATTGAGCTTATGCGGTGTAATATCTTTATTAAAAAGCTCATGAGAAATAAGATTATATAGAATAATAAAGATTCATCTCTCACTTTTAGCTTTTTTACATATTGAACAACTTTGAGTGGTCGTAGTACTCTGAACACACGAACAACTTTTAAAGCAATGTTGCCTTTTTGTAACCTAAAAATGTATAAGTACAATATATTTTATGTGATTACAATATTTCTTTAAATTATCATTACAACAAAAATGGAAAAATAAATAAAGAAATAGTACTAGTTAATATAACAACTCATAAAAAGAAATTTAAACAAAAAATTAAATTGTAAATAGTAAATTTTACAAAATAAAACAAAATAAAATATAAATAAAAAAATACAAACATATTTGAAAGAATGATTGAAAGCAAACTCATAAAAAAAACAAATGCATCAAGTTGGTTCCATGAATCACGAAGAAATGATCCTTTATTGAAAACAAAACCAACATCAACTATCTAAAAAACTTTTTTCATAAAAACAACCCAAGAAACAAAAATTAAAATTTTGTTATTACTATAAAGTTGAATGTTACAAGCATTTTTATATAATTATGTATGTATATATATATATATATATATATATATATATATATATATATATATATATATATATATATATATATATACAAGGAAAAAAAACATCAGAGTCCAAGTTAATTGGATTCTATATATATATATATATATATATATATATATATATATATATATATATATATATATATATATATATATATATATATATATATATATATATATATATATATATATATATATATATATATATATATATATATATATATATATATATATGTATATATATATATATATATATATATATATATATATATATATATATATATATATATGATATATATATATATATATATATATATATATATATATATATATATATATATATATATATATATATATATATATATATATATATATATATATATATATATATATATATATATATATATATATATATATATATATAGAATCCCATTAACTTGGACTCTGATGTTTTTTTTCCTTGTGTTTTTCTTTTTAGATTTAAAACTTTAGACAATTTGTACAAACTTTTTATACAAACATTTTTTTTTGTTAATATAAATAAAAACAACTACAAATTAATACAAACTTTTCAATATTTAACTTTTAACATTTAACTTATAAACAACTTGCAAACTAGTAAAAACTTTTCAATTTTTTTTTTTAAACATTTTTTAAAGACATGTTTTAAAAACTTGTTTCAAAACTTGTTTTCTAATACACTCACCTCCCAAAGAAACAGTGATGGTAGGTAGAGAGGGGCGGTGGGGGGAGGGAAAGAGATGGGCACTAGAGTCAAAAAAGTTACTCAACTTTTATAGTATTTTATGATTTTTCGTTATTTTCATACTACTCTTTATTTGACTCTAAAACAGAAACCTTTAAAACTAAGATTACACCGCAAAAGAAACAAGTTGACAAAACATACCAGAGAAAAAAATTGATCGCACAAAAAATTACACTACTGTTGTAGTATACTTGACAAACTATAACATTACAAATAAATTAATTTATAACACTAAAATGAAACAGTAACACTAGCAAAAAAGTATTGACAAATGTAAAAAAAAAAGTGAAACAACTAAAACAATATTTTTATCACATTTTTTAAGACTGTGGTGCCACTCCTTTATATACCAGACTAAAAAAAGGACTCTTTAAAAAAAGAACTCTACTCCTAAAATTGGGTAAAATTTTATAATTTGGGGTCAATTTTTAAGAGTTTTTACGACTTTTTATTAAAATTCAGGGAATTAAATTTAGAGTTTATGAATTATTTTATTATCAGTTATCAAATTTAAATGTAAAAACAGAATTATCTAAGCCCTCCTAAAATAACTTTTTAAAATATAGAAAAATGCCATACTGAACGGTGAATTTGAATTTTGTTTTGCTTTATTAGTATTTTATTGTTTATATGTATGGATGTTTTTTTTGGCAATTGTTGAATCTGAGAATATTGCTTGAAAAAATAATTTAAAAATATCTCAATTGGTCAAGTTAAAAGAAAAGTTAGACTCAATACACTTTAAACTATGAATGATTTCAGATTTTAAAATCTCTTTCTCAGAAGTGTAATTAATCTCTGAAGCTTTTAAATTAGGCATTTCATCATTCTCTTTACTAATTTCTGATTGTTCTTTTCCTTCTTAAACCTTGATTATATGAAGATTGCTAATTGCATAGCTTTTTATTAAACAGCTCCACTTCCACTGACTGAAAAAGGTTTCTGGCATAGCTTCTAACTCACAGAACAATGATGTTTAACTGATTCAAAGTATAACCTGGTTCGACATCCTTCTATCTAGTTAAACGAGTAAAAATTTAAATAAAAAACACAAACCATACATACTTACATACACAGTCTGTAAACAAAGACAGTATTTATACATACAAATACATTGTTATAAATGTATTATCGTATACATTGACTATTTATTTAAAACAATCTTTGGAAATTTTAGGACAATTTAGGACATAAGTCAATTAATTTTATGAAAAAACATCAAATTATCAAAATTTAGGACATTTTCAGATTTTGATATGGAATGGGAGGTCTGATATTGTTGTTTAACTTTAATACTTCTAAAATTAGAAGTTGTGCACACATGATAAACATAACCACGCATATTGAGAAAATGCAAAATCAGAAAAATAACTAAAAAGTATTTAGTACTTTTACAATAGAACAATTTCTAAGTGTTTTTATATCAAACAACCTAAAACCCATAGTACCAGCTGCTAGTGCAAACTGTTCACTAGGTCAACCCAAAAAGTATTTAGCAGCAAGAACAAAAGATCTGCTTTATAAGGTATTATACACAAACTATGTTAGACCTTTTGCGATTTAGGCCTGAACAGCTTTTTTTCAAGGTGACATTAAAAAAAACTTGAGCAACCATAAATAAAATAAAGATACCAAAAATAAAATAAAGATAAGAAATTTAACTTATAAAAAAGAATTAATTTGTAACAACAATTTTAATTATGAATATTCTCTTATTTATAAAATAAATTCTTATGATCTATAAGAATCCTTTAATCTATAAAAAATTATAATATATAAGAATCCTAATAACCTATAAAGATCTTTATAATATTTAAGAATCCTAATAACCTATAAAGATCTTTAAATTATTTAAGAATCCTTATAACCTATAAAGATTTTTATAATATTTAAGAATCCCAAATTTTTAAACAAATTAGAAACATAACTAAAATCTAAAAAATTTATTTTCTTTTCAGGAAACATAAAAATAAAGAAACAGTTTACAAAGCTTGAGAAACCTAACAAACTACAAACTACATATACTTAAACATCAGGAAGTGAAAACAATAAAACTGGCAGTTATGTATTGAACAAACTTTAAACTTTTTATTTTTAAAAGATTGACGACTTAAAAGACTGCAAATTTTACAAATCAGGAAAATAATTTGATGGGAACGATGGAATTCTAAAGAAAGCAAAAAGAGATGGAATTCTAAAGAAATGATGTTTGAGGAAAAAAACCAGATAAATAAGAATTTTGGGAGTACTTAGAAAAAGACACAGTAAATAGATGAGACTTCTTTAAATGACAAGAAACACGAGAATAAAATTTAGTAGATAGCCCAAAAGGCGTTAGCTGTTTAGAACAGCGCTCATTATAGTATTTACAGAAAAGAGAAAGAGAAGCAATATTACAACAAAAAGACAATGGTTGACGTGTGGATGCAAGAGCAAGTCTAACTATGTTTATAATGCATTTTTGCATCTTGTCTAAAAGAGAAAAGGCATTATTCAAAGATCTGCTCCAGATATGGCAACAGTATACCATAAAAGGATGGATTTCAGATTTATAGAGCTAAAGAATAGAATCTAGAGTAAGTTTGTGGGGAGCACGATAAAGAGATACAACCTTAACTCATGCTAATTTAGCAATAGATTTGATATATGATTTCCAAAAAAGATTTTTCAAGCTCAAATATCTTTTCCATGCAACCAGAGTGTTGCCTTTTTCTCAAGACAAGAAAAAATGTAGTATCATCAGTGAACAATACTACTTTATATGTAAGAATTTCTGGAAGATTGTTAATGTAAATTAAAAAGAGTATAAGGCCAAGGATAGAAGCTTAAGAAACATCTGAAGTTACAGAAAATGAAGAAGAGTACTGTCAATTGAGGACAATTTTATACTACATTTGGTAATGAAAGATTCAAAAGCTTCAAAGATTTTGATGCATTATAATAAGAGAGCTTATGAAAAAGACCAGTATGCCAAACTTTATGAAAGGATTTGGAAATCTTGAGAGAACCTCTCTGCATCTAATTAATGCATGATAAAAGCTATTGGTTTATATAGTTAAAAATTCAGCAGTAGGATAAGAAGATTGAAATCCATGTTGATGATCAGAAAATTATTAGATTCAAGATGAGATATTAAGTGTTTGTTAATTAAAAATTCAAAAACTTTTGCTTATGATAGGGTAAAGACTAATGGGATGGTAGTTAGACAAGTCAAATCGCTCTCTAGAATTTTTAGAAACAGGGATAACAGATGCTGCTTTCCAGCAAGCTAAAAACAAGACTGATGAACACTTGTTAAAAAATTTAAAAAGTGTATACAACAAAACTTCTGCAATACTATAACAAGTATGTTGTCCAGAAACTTACTTTAAATACAGAAGCTGGAGTGATAAGAATGTGAAGCAATAAACCAAACTGTTTGTCAGTTAATATATAAGCAATATAAATAATATTGTCATTATTATGTAAACAATATAAATAATATTGCCATTATTATACTTTTAAATAGTTGTAATAAATCATATTTATACAGTATAAAATTATTTTGCATTACAAAATTAAAATTCAGTTAATTAAAAATAAAACAACCTTAAGAAAAATCTCAATTCCAAAAATGGCTGTAAAAATATAATCACATTTTCTGCTAATCTAAAAAAATGTAACAGTGAAAATTTCATTTTAATGATTTAGATGTTTTAAATAATTCATGCTAGATTTTATCTCAAAAAAGTAACCAAAAAATAATGTAAATATTTTGTTTTCATAAATAAAATATTTAGTTACCAATAATCTAAAAACAATTAAATGTAAAAAAATAACTGACATTATTAAGATAAGAATCAAGATTTATTGGATCTTCAATTGCTAGCACTAATGAACGAACCAATATAATTGCAATCATTCCTAAATCAAAATATTTTGACCGGACTATTGAATGACAAAGCACACGAAACCTAAAAATACAATCCAACCTAATAATTTTTTCTTTTTTTAATTTGTTAAAAATTTAAAAGTATTAAATAAGTTATAAATACCTGTTTGTAGAAGGGAAAATAAAAAGAGAAGAGTTGCTGTTCAAAATGAAATTATGAATCGATTCTTTTTTATTGACAACACTATTCTTGAATGTCTTGAAAAATCCTTGTTTAACAATGTTTGATTCAAAATCATCTAAAAATAATTTTTATTTTTTGTTTAATGCTGCATAATAAAAATACTTTTATAAAATAAAGTTTGCAGAACGCAGGTTGCATAGTGTCAGTGACATAACCAGTAATTATTTCTGAGATGTTGGTTCTTAAATTTTTTCCAAGATGCTAATTCCTAAATAGTTATAGAGATTTTCTTCAACCAAAGTTAAAGACTTTTTTTTGTTGCAATAATGTTATTCAGACAAGAATAAGTCTAAAGTATAAAAAATTATGTGAAAATACAGAAGAAAAATGTATATATCATTCTGGTCATGGCGTTAACTGAAACAGATGTTGGTTGTTATAACTGTTAACTATAATTTTAAAATATTGACAGATATATCACATGAAGAGAGCTTATGGAGAAAACCAGCATACTTGATTTTAATAAAAGCTTATGTAAAAATGTTAAGAGCAGTAGTTCATGCCAAGTATAACTTTTATAACAAGTAAGTTACTACTGTTACTACTGTTAATTAAATTACCAATAGAGTGAAATTCAAAACCTTGTTGATTTTCAGAGAGTTAGTTGTTAAGCTTAAAATGAGAAATTAAGTGTGTGTGCATATATATATATATATATATATATATATATATATATATATATATATATATATATATATATATATATATATACATACAATAAAGTATACTGTTTTAAATATGCTATAGTAGATACATATATATATATATATATATATATATATATATATATATATATATATATATATATATATATATATATATATATATATATATATATATATATATTATATATATATATACATATATATATATATATATATATATATATATATATATATATATATATTATATATATATAATATATATATATATATATATATATATATATATATATATATATATATATATATATATATATTATATATATATATATATACATATATATATATATATATATATATATATATATTTATATATATACATATATATATATATATATATATATATATATATATATATATATATATATATATATATATATATATATATATATATAATATATATATATATATATATATATATATATATATATATATATATATATATATACATACAATAAAGTATACTATTTTACCTGCAAAGTTCAAATAACTTTTAGTACTAAACAACTTTTTTTCTGCATTATTGAATTCATTATAATTTGTATTGCTTTTTTTAGATAATATGGTAGTAGCTACATCTTTTGACATTTCAACATCTTTGTCAAATTTTAATTTCAAGTTATTTACTTGAAAAAATTTTTCTGGATTGAAATCACTCTTTAAGTTCTAAAACAGAAAAATATTAAGAAAAACTTCACATATTGGATTGATAAACATACAATTGAAAAAATGATGTCACCCTTGTTGTTGAATAAATAATTATATTTAATAAATTCAAAAATAGCTTAACACGTAACTTATCCAATAACTAAATACTTTTTTATGATTGTTTTATTAGTTTTGTAATGGTAATAGGGCAGTATTAAAACACTTCTAATTATCTAACTCTAAGTGTCTAACTTAATGACTTGTCTTCAAAGCAATTCTTTGAGAATGAACTCTTCCATTTCCAAAGCAGTACCAATTTATCTTGTTTAAAAATATTTTTTTTGAATTAAAGAAGTGTTAAGTGAGGAAAATGTAAGTAACTTCTTTAATTGCAGTGACTATACTTTAACTTGGCTACTACACTTTAAAAAATTTGGAATTACAATGAAACTTATTTAACTGATGATCTTGGAAACAAGTATTAAGAAAGCAAGGATCTAAATGTTCTTAGAAGATCAGGATTTAAATGTTTTTAAAAGATAACTAATTCAACAAAGTTTGCTGTGGAAATACAGAGAGAAGTATGTATTTTCAATAAAGCAATCTACTTTATAGATAAACAGTCAGGAGGAATCTTATAGATAACACATTTCTGTTGTTTTTATAAACACATTTGTGTTGTCTTTAAAGCTGATTCAATGTGAACAACATGGACAGACCAAGAGAAGTGGTAGGGGAAATGGTGGCCACTTAAGGTTTTTTGCCATTTTTATGATTGTATTATAATGGTCCGAGCTCTAAGGTAGAAGAATTACTACAATGTATATTATAAACAATTACTCCAAGAGCTTGACTCCTGCTGTTATACAGATTAATTTAAATCTTTATTGTTGTCTAGACTAAAAAAAACTAGAACACATAGAACACATATTCTAATTTGAGAAAATTTGTCATCACATACAAATACATTTGTATGTATATTTGTGAATCAAAAAATCAAAATCAAATTTATTGCACTTCCTTTGAATTCCACGCATTTGATTCAGCCATTGGATGTTAGATATTTTGACTTATGAAATATGCCCAGTTGAGACATTCCCAACTTTAATAACTTGAATTATGCCCAGTTGAGACATTTTTAACCCAACTTTAAAGGAAAATGCATTGCTTAATAGATAAAATTGAATAAACCTGGTTGTGAAAGCATGGACAAGTTTCATAAAAACTGGATTAAACCAACTTCTGCAAAATTAGGTGATAAATTTTCTAAAAGATCATTTACAAATGAAGATGTGACTGTGGAAATTGGATCGCTTGTCAGTAAGTCTTTCATACAACATTTAGTTGAAGCAAGAAAATATAGTTGTATACCCTCATGTAAAAACCAACATAAAGTCTTTGTTGTTTCCTGAAAAAATTATCAATTGATGTTGCAAACAACTAAAATTACAAATGAGACAAAGAAAAAACAATTGCTGTGAAAACACCTCAGCTATAAACACTTAAACAGCAAATAATTAAAGTCAATCTATTGACTAACTCTAGAGCTGATAAATGATTCATAATTTTTAGTGCTTTAGACAATAATTTGGTTTTTTTGCCATGCTCATTTATAACTTGACTAAATTTGTAAGTTAGTTTCAGACCATAGTCATTAATAACTCGACTGAATTTAAAAATTAGTTTCAAGCCTTTGTTCCTTTCCCAAAAAATGTTTCTTTCCCAAAAAATGTTTTAGCTATTTTGATTTGAGAAAAGGTTATAAATCAAATTTTTCTCAAAAGTTGCATTAAAACTGACCTTTATTTAATTTGGATTCCAATCAATCTGAATGCTGAGATATTTGATAGTAAAAATAAAACTGTAATAAGACTTTTCTACAATCATGCCTGTTGAAATTATTCTCATTTAACAAACTTAGCAAAAGGTTTAAAATAACAAATCAAAGAAAGAGTGAAAAGGTTAAAATTGCTTTGTTAATAAAGGACCAGCAAAAAAAGGTATTGATTTATTTTGTTAATTAAGAATTGAAAATGGATTTGAAGCTTCATTAAAAGTGATTTAGTGCACTGTAAAACTACAAAAATTAATATCAATATGACGCGCTCTGTTATTAGTTTTTTTGTTGTTGTCAAATAAAGTAAATAATTTGATATCTTGAATGTTAATTAATGAAATCAAACATTGGTCTTACAGAAAAATATAAAAAATATGGATGAAAAAACATAAATTGAAAAACAAGATATTGCAGAGTTATAGTTTTAATCACCTTGTTGTGTGTTAAGACACCCCTGAAATAAACAAATAAAAACAAAATAATTTTGAATAGAACAAATATGTACCATTAAATTAAATAGATACTAGCACTCAATTTTAAAACTAAGTTAAACATTATAAATCAAACATTTAATTAAAGAACTTAATTTGTGAAATTATAAATAGAATGATAGAAAATTAATTTGTGTTCTTTTAAAAATGAAGTAAAACATTTTTTCCCATAAGACTAAACTTATCAAAGAAAAACCAAAATGCTTGTATAGTCTTCAATGTAGTAAATGACCAGGCTCAAGCTAAAAATAAGACTTTTTGCAAGGCCCGGTCACTTACTACATTAGTTATTACATTACTTAGTTTGTTAACTAAGCAACTTTTTATGTTATTTCCTAATGTGAGTACAGCTCTAAAACTCAGTTAAATTGTTTTAGGCTTGCATATAGAAAGATGTTGTTAAAAAAAACATTTTAAAAAGTGTTTTTTTTCAATTTTTTTCTTCTTTAAAATGTTTGCTCCTATACAATAAATTTGAAAAAATTGATTATATTTTAAAGCTTTGAACTTTTTTTTAAAATGAGACTTTTTGCAAATCTGACCACAACAAAATTATAAGCTTTAGCAGGGGTTGATAGCTGGGTCTAGAAAAAATTTTTTAATTCTTTATATATTATAAATTTATACTTGCATTTACTATTTATTAAATTCTGGCATACATTTATGCCAGTATTTAATAAATAGGGAGAGATACAGTAAAATGGTGCAACCTGTTGAATAAGAAGCCAAGTAAGAATGAATTTTGGTTTATTGTAATAGAGATGATGGCTCGTTTGAGCATTGACCGTGATTAGAGAAACATCATAAAAGAGGAAGGCTAAAGCCTGCTGATGATGATAATGATGATGATGTATATGATGCTGGTGATGATAATGATGATGATCATTCTTATAATGATGATGATGATGATGATGATAATGGCAATGATGACAATGATGATTATAATGATGATAATGATGATGATGATGATAATGATGATTATAATATGATGATGTATATGATGCTGATGATAATAATGATGATGATCATTATTATAATGATGATGATAATGATGATGGCAATGATGACAATGATGGTTATAATGATGATGATGATGACAATGATGATTATAATAATAATGATGGTGATGATGATGATGATGATGATGATGGTATTAATGATGTTTATATATGCATATTTATACAAAATACAACATAAATTTTGAAAAAAAAAATGTACTTTAGGATGTATAAATAACTATGCAGCACCAGTTACAAACCCGGTCCGGACTATATGTTATCAAACCTGGCCCCGGTCAAATATCAACCCCAGTCACTTACTACTCCGAGGCAGGCTACCCATTAGCACACTTTTTAAAACTTTGTATAACTATGGATAACCATTGGCTATTCTAATAGGTATAATATTATAAAATTTGTTATAACTTATTAGTATTTAACAAATTATACTAATCAAAATATTATATTAAACAAAAACAGTTAAACTTAAAAAAAAAAGAAAAACTATTATACATAATAATTTGTTGTTTTTAAAAACAAACTTTCAAAAAAAAAAGAAAAAAAGAGAAAAAAACAAACAAACAAAAAATAATACCTTATTTATAATTTTACTTCCATCCTTTCTCCTAAATATTTCAAATACAACTTAATAAAACCTTCGTAATATTATGTGTAAGTACAAAACATATTTAAGGTTAAAGTAAAAAGTACTAAAAACAAACAATGTGATTCCTGAAAAATTATTAATCTATTTTATTAGGAACAACTTTATTTTATTAGGAACAATTTATTTTATTGTTGGTGATAGTGCTGACGTTATTTGTATTGATAGTGGTGGTGTTGATATTGTTGATGGTGATAGTGTAGATATTGATAGAGTTGATGGTGGTGATGCAAATGGTGATGGTATTGATGTTGTTGTTGATGATGATGATGATGATGATAATGATGATGATGATGATGATGATGATGATGATGATGATGATGATGATGATGATGATGATGATGATGATGATGATGATGAAATGGATGTGCGGTAATGCAACTAAAATGTTCTGTATTGCAACACATTCGTTAGGTAAAGTACCTCTAGTTTGTTATTGCAACTTTAATGCTTGCTATTTCAATGTTGCTTTTGCAACAATTGAAAACTTTTGAATAATTTTTTTTTTTTTATTAAGCAGTTATGTCGTCATCCGGCACAAAAAATTTTTTGTTCAAAGTTAGTTGGACAGAGAAAAATTTGTTTGGTTTGAAGTAATAAAATTCTTCTACTTAATTTTTATTTACAAAATAAAGGCAAAAAAGCACTTAACTTAAAAGTATATATATATATATATATATATATTATAGTACAATCAATTTTAAAGTTTATCCAACTTTACAAACCAGTTTGTGATATACCTAAAAGGTATGAGCTGGCTAGAATCAAAATGGTGTATATCAATTTCTACTCAATATTTGAGTCAAAGTTTATTTAAACCACCCTGATTCTAGATGGCTAAAATCGAAGTAGTGCAAGCTAACATATACTCAAAATTTCACCTAAAAAATTACAATTTTAAACAACTTATAATAATGTTATTAATAAAATACTATATGCTTATAATAATACTATTATTAATATACTGGTTAGAATCAGAGTGGTTAAAGTCACTTTTAAGTTGACATAAAAGTTATAACTTTTATTTATTATTATTGACTATATAGTTTATTCTTTTTGTTTTAAAAATTTTAAAAGATATTACTTGTAAAGAGTAAAGTTTAGATTATCACTCACTACTAAAATTCCTTGTTTTACTTAGGACAAAATCTAATCTAGAGATAGTTATGTTAAAAAACTATCAACAATGTTTAGATTTTAATCAACAAAAGATAGTTTACCACAATCTAAAGAAAAAAATAGTGCCCAAGGTATTAAAAAAATTTATTTAATTTGCAAAGAAAAATATAAGGATCTGCCACAGGACGTTGGATCCATGTATCATAAATGCAAGTCCTGGTTGCACAAGAAGTGCGCTATTGGTAAAAGCATGCCCTGAGGTTTTGTTTGTGAAATTTGTTTGTAATTTTTTAAGGTTTTAATTGTAGTTGTAGGTTACAATAAAAAAGTTGTAGGTTACAATAAAAAGCTCATGATCTCCCCAAAGGAAGACTATGTGATACAATTTTAAAGCTTGGCAAAAGTGAGCATATCCTTAGATTTTATCTGTGATTTTTGCACTTAACTATTACAATTAGCATTTTATAAACAATAATTTTTGGGATTACACCACAAAGTGTTGGGAATCACCCCATGTACACCCAAAGACAAATGGTTTAATTTTTGCCCCAAATTTTTTTTTAAAATAAGATTGATTAAAATTGCTTTTGAGAGTTTGCAACTGATCAGTTAACTGAACATAAGCAATAAAATCATCAGTTTTGAACAATTAATTTCTTTAATTCGCATTCCCACTTAACTGTTTGCTAATACCACATTCTTCTCTAAATACCAGAATAAAACCTTTTAGAGCAAAACAACAACATAGCATTGAGAACCAGCAGCAGGAAACCAGTTGAGCAGCAGCCAATCAAAAGATCAAATTGAGGATTTTATTTGATTTCCACAAAAAAGTCATAAACAAAAAAGTTTATGAATTTTTTGTGGAAATCAAATGTATTAAGAGCATTTCAACAAACTAAGTGCTTTCATAAATCTTAAAAAAAATTAGCTTTAAACTAAATCCAGGACTTAAAAATGTTTTTGTTAAAAAAAATTAACTTGATTTTGAAAGAGAGACAAAAATATTAGTGTCACCTAGTGTCTTTTGCCAATCTTTTGACCTCAAATCATAACTTATAAATCATAACTAAATCAAAATTATTATCTTTTGTTTCTTCAAAAGATAATGATGCTTATAATAAAATTGAAAGACATTAAATAGTTTTAACATATTTACAATAGTTTAGTTTAAATGTTACTAAAGTCAATCTATTTGGCTAGTTCAATTCAAAGTCAATTTATTTGGTTTTTAGTTTAATCAAAACTATCTAATAAAGTTAGTTAAAAAAGTATTAAAGTTTCTCAAATATATTCCTGACAGCTGAGTTAATTGCAAACACATGTGCAGAGTGTGCAAGCTCAATTAAGTTTCACATGTTAAAGCAACTTTATTTTTTTCTTTAGTTATATAGTTGCAGGAGTAGCCTTCAAAACCTGATGAAAAAGGTAAATGTGGTTATTCTTGTAATATATTTCATATATTTTTCAAAGTTGTTTGCACAAGTATTTAAACATTCAGTTAGGAATTGTCCATATATATTTTGCAACGCAAAGTTTATTTTAAAAACAGAATTAGGAAATGTTTAGCACTTTTATGTTTTTATTAAACTAGGTGCTCTATTTTGATTTTTTATTTAACTTAAGGCTCTATGAGGGAAAAATTTGTATCTCTTTTGTTTTATTAGTGAAATTTAGTGTTGCATAATTTATGGACAATCTCTAATCAATTTTACTCTTATGCCAAAGAAATTTACTAATACCTTAATTTTTGCTTATTCTATTCTATATTTCTAGAAATTCAAAGAAAACACAATTATTTTATCTAGTTTTTAAATTATTAATTAGTTTTTTGGAGTTGTCCTTAAAGTTAGTTATAATTATGATAATTGCAGCAGCTATAATTTTATTGTAGTGAAAATTTTGTTATCGCACAATCAAACAAAATGTAGTATGCAGAATTTAAAAATAAAAAACTTGAAATAAAGAGATAATTGAGTTTTTAATCTTCTCTCTGCATGGGGAAAATAAATTGTGCCCTTTGAAGTACATTCAAATATTTTGTGATTGTTATAAATTTCAAATTTTTAAAAGATATTTATAAATTTATTTTCTTGTTATTAAGGAAAAAGATGGATGTTTTTAAGCTACTAGATCATACTTTTGAAATACTTTGCTCTAATGATGTCAGCATCTGAAGACTTGTAACAGCATACTTTTCAATAATATCTCACTCAATATCACATCATGTGCAAAAATGGGCAATTGAATACAATTAAAATCTCAGACAAAATTTATAACTACTTAATTAAATTTTTCTAAAAATACTTTTTTAATGCTTTGAGTCAGACATTGAAGATTTGTTATCAAACATTTTAAAGTTTTAAAATCAATCTTCTTCAACAATCACAACACAGAATTTGCATAAATTTAAAAATTATATAAGTTTGATCCTGTATATTTGTACAAAGACATCTTAAGGTTTTTTCATAGTTTATTTTGCTCTTATTGCATTTGTATTTTTTTGTATATAATATATATATATATATATATATATATATATATATATATATATATATATATATATATATATATATATATATATATATATATATATATATATATGTATATATATTATATATATATGTATATATATATATATATAATATTCATAATTTATGAGTATAATATTCATAATTTATATCTATTTATTATAAATATGGAATCCCAAAAAAGACTCCGAATTTGAAAATCACAATAGTATTACTTTTTTCTAGTTTTTCTTTTTTATATTTTTTAAAAATATAAAAAAGCTTATGGGCTACTAATAGAGAAAAAAATTAAGATTTATAGGTCAGAAGAACAATTAATTTTTGAACCTGGAGTCCTTAGGTATAATGGAGGCAAGGACTCCAGGACTCCGGGACACCTGACTTAAAAACAATAAATTCCAAGTCATTAAATATCATAAATTTTTTTCCTATAGCAGATCATTAATCATGTATGTATGTATGTATATATATACATGTATATATATATATATATATATATATATATATATATACATATATATACATGTATATATATGTATATATATATATATATATATATATATATATATATATATATATATATATATATATATATATATATATATATATATATATATATATATATATATATATATATATATATATATATATAAAGAGAGAGAGAGAAGATGATTTATTTAATATCATCAAAAAATTAATATTTTCTTTATCATCTTTGTCTAAGTAATCCTTTTTAATACTTAGTTATTTTCTTCTCTTTTTGACACGGCCAGTGGACTCAAATTGTCAAGATTGTTTCTTATTGCTAGGCCATAGAAGTTCTGCATAGAATTGATCACAGATTAACTTTCTTCTTCCATTTAGTGGTGTGCTTGTTCTTTTGTAAATCTTAACAACCTTATAAAGTCTAGTGCCCATTCTTTTCTGTACAAGACCAATACATTTCAATTTTGTGATCTTAATGTTCAAATCTTTGTAAGGGTCACTTTCAATATTTTTTCTGCCCCTGCAGATTTTATAGCACCCGAAGAAACAATGTGGTTAATACTACATTGATGATTTGCAAACTATTCTTTATATTCTGAAGTTGACTTTTCATTTTCCTAAAAGACACAGCCATGGCAAATTTTTGAAAGTTATTCGACATCAGTACATTTTTTATCAATGATTGTTGTTACTACTCCATTAAGGGAGGATTTCGGCAATCAAAGTTATAATGCTTAGCTTTCAGCAGCTTAAAGCATGTTTTCACCAGCTTCTGTATGATATGCTTCCTTTATAGAATTTTGATTGTGATGATGATAACAATTGT